TTCTCGTCTCGTTACTTCGTCTGTTCTGTCGCCCTCTGTGTCACTCCTTGTTCATTTACTATAAAATCCTTCACCTCTTTTGGAGCTATCTTCCAGAACGACGCAGCGGAAGCCTCATAGCCTTCACCGTCACTTCAGGAAAAAAAAAGAATAACATGCATTATTACCACCTCCGTCAAGCAACACACAGGGGACCCCCCCCCCCCTCGGCCTCCTACCCCACAAGCACGCAAAAAAAAAAAAAAAAAAAAAAATTCTCTTCAATATTTCTCCTGAACACAACAATACATTAACGTCATCTCCTTGAGCCTTTGGGTACGCGCTTTTACTAAGGAACCCATGAAAAGACTCTGAGCTCCCCTCCCCCCCCCCAGTGTTCTCCCGTCCCTCATTGAAGCAAGGAGGAGAAATGAGACAAAGACGAAGCCTCATCATTAAGGCAATATTTTTCTGGTAACTGGAGATGCTTTCGGAGTAACGGGCGACCGCAAACACGCGTCCTCTCGCAATGCTCTGTTAATATTCGATATCAGATTTTATTCCTCTTATGTTTGTTATTGCTTTTGCTCTTTATTATCACCTCCTAATTCAAATGGTAATGGGTACCGTGAGGGCCATAGATTTTCTCTTATTCCTTTACCCTCTCCCACTTTTCATCCTTTTTTTTATTCGTCTCTCCCTTCCTCCTGCATATTTTTAAAATTTTCTTTCTCTCTTTTTTTTCGATATTATCAATTCATTTCCTCCTCTCTCTTTCGTATTCCCTCTCCCCTCCGAACTCCATGCACTCTCCTTGCTGTCCATTATTTTAATACATCAACTTTCATCAGCATTAGCAAAGAACAAAGACACTTATTCCTTCCTCATCAGCACAATGGAAGGGCAGTTACAACGTTTTGGAAATTAAATATCTTCGTTTGTCGGATAGACTGGATCGAGGTGCGCTGTGCCCGATTAATGAGGGTTTAGCCATATCCAGAAAGAGTTTATCTGTTTGAGTAAATGCATTTGCAACTACAAATGCACACACAAACCCTGTCTGCTCTAAGTCTACTCTCTCTCTCTCTCTCTTCCTTTCTCTCTCTCTCTCTCTCTTTCTCTCTCTCTCTCTCTCTCTCTCTCTCTCTCTCTCTCTCTCTCTCTCTCTCTCTCTCTCTCTCTCTCTCTCTCTCCCTCTCTCTCTCTCTCTCAGTCTATCTATCTATTTCTTTCTCACTCATTGCTGTACACTAAATATTACACATAAAGCACGCAGAGAGATATGGACACAAATCTCGATAGTGCATCTGCCTGCAAGCATCTCTATCTGTCTGTCTATGATTTTATCAATATATATTCAGGTTGCAGTATTTTGTCATTTGCAGTATAAGGCTATCTATGGTGTGAATGTGTGTGTGTGTGTGTGTGTGTGTGTGTGTGTGTGTGTGTGTGTGTGAGAGAGAGAGAGAGAGAGAGAGAGAGAGAGAGAGAGAGAGAGAGAGAGAGAGAGAGAGAGAGAGAGAGAGAGGGGGGAGTGGATATTTGTTTATTTATTTATAACCATCTTTCTTGCATTTTTTATCTAGATAATTTTCATATTCGTTGCTTCATTTTTTTTTTTTTTTTTTTTTTGGGGGGGGGGGGGGAGATTGGGGTGAGGGAATGAAAATGTGCCTCAATTATACTGTCTTTACCTGTTTTATTTTACACCTTCTTTGACACTCAGGTTTTCGTCAAAGATTATTGCTTTGTTTTTATTCTATTTTTATTTTCTTGGCTTTGGTTCTTCTCTCTTCTTTTTTTTTGCAGTTCCTTCTCTTCCCTCTCATCATTTTTCATTTCCACCGTTCTTTTTCATCTCATCTCCCTTCCTTCCTCCCTTTATATTTGTTCTTTTTCTCTCTCTTTTTCTCCTTTTTCCCCCTTTTTATTTCATATTTCCACATTCCCCCTTTTTCTTCCTCTACTTTCCTTCTCTCTCTCTCTCAGAGTGGTCAGAAGCCTTCATTGTCACCACTCCAACTAGCAGGGGTGACCAATAGGACGGTAACGCCCCGTACTGACCTAAGCCACGCCCATTGCGCTCATGACCTCCGGCATAACCTTGATCCGCACAAACACTCTTCCTCGAGTCACATTCCAGTTCGGACGCGGCCGTCTCCTTGGGGTCACCCTCCAGGGCCCGCACCTTGCCAGGCCTAACCGCTGCCCGGGTCTTTACTTCTCCACAAGCCGGCCTTTCTAACGTCCGTCCACGCTACACTACCAATAATAAACAGTGAAGCCAGGCCGTGAGTTTCCGTCAACCAAACCCTGAGACACCCCTGGACCGCCTCGCTCTCTCTCTCTCTCTCTCTTTCTCTCTTTCTCTCTTTCTCTCTCTCTCTCTCTCTCTCTCTCTCTCTCGTTCTCTCGCGTATCGAAAACTGCTGGATTGGCAGCATCAAGACGTAATATTTTAAACATCGCTTTCAAAAGATATTTGAATGCTGAAGATGACTAGATTCTGTTTTAAGTAAAAAAATAACCTGCTTTAACGGTTGAATAATCGCCGATCGTAAATGAAGCACTAAATCAAAGTAACTCTTTCACCTATGCTCGAGGCGATTTCTGTGTTACATGAAAGCATACATGGACATCAGACACTGTTAGATATGCTTCAAGGTTATAGCAAGTTTGTACGTCTAATCTTATTACCAAACTTCAAGTCTGTATTATATATATATACTTTCCAACTTTATCACAATGCTTGACAGACGATACATTCTGTAAATACTTTTGGTCATTTATATCTGTATTTATATCTGTCCATCTCTCTCTCTCTCTCTCTCTCTCTATATATATATATATATATATGTGTGTGTGTGAGTGTGCTGTGTGTGTGTGTGTGTGTGTGTGTGTGTGTGTGTGTGTATGTTTGTCTGTGTGTATGTGTGCGTGCTTTTGTGTATGTGTGTGTGTGTACACATTTCTAATCTTGCTTCTTTTTTTAAACAAAGACAAAGAAAAAAAACACTTTTTGTTCAACTAGTGTTTGAACCACGCTAAGTAACGTAATGTTGATACACATAAAAGGAGTTTGAATAACGAAAGGTGAGTAAGATCAAAGTTCGTAAGACTCGAAGAAAAGGTTACAGCTAGAACTTAGGGGCGACTTGAATACTAAAATCTTAGAAGGGACATAGGATCCCGAATTAGCCAGAGTTTGCAAGGAAATTAGTCGATGGTTCTACCCTAATGAAAGAGATGTAGATTTCTTTAATTGTGACGGACATTTATTTTTTTTCGACTTTGGGAAAGAAAAGGAAGCTTCACATCTAAGAATACGAACTGCAGAAAGAACTTCAAATACGACGCTCAGCCCTCAACCAATCATAAACGAGAACGAAAAACAAGGAAAAAAGAAAGAAAGAAAAGAATGGACAATGTAATGGAAGGGAGAAACACAACAAAAACAAAACATCAGACCAACTTGACTGTATACTAGAGGCTGATAAATCTTTGTTTTTTTTATCAGTATGAAGATTGGGGGCAAATGTATATAGAAAAGTACCCTGCCGTGAAAACATCAGAAGTGGAGTCTTCATAACGCTATTAATGAGGTTAAACAAATATAGCAAGTAATTTTTAGAAAATTTCTGGAGGTACTTGCAAGAAAATCTAGATATATAAAAAAGCCAGTTAAGGAGAATTTTTTTTCTCTTCTTTTTATTTTATTTATTTATTTATTTATTATTATTATCATTTATTTTATTATTTTCCATTTATTTATTTATTTATTATTATTATTAATTTTTTTTTTGGGGGGGGGGAAATTGAAAATGCAATTTCTCATTAACAGATAATTTATAATCTCAAGATCGAATTATCAAGGCTACTTAGATGCTGGAATAGATTAGTAATTGTGTGTGTATATATATATATATATATATATATATATATATATATATATATATATATATATATATATATATATATATATATACATACATATGTTTATAATATATATATACACATATAAGCATAATATATATATTGTGGTAGGTTCTTTTAATGTTTGCCACTTTTTAGATCCTTCATCACTTCATTCAGCAGTATTAGAGGTGGATAAATAAACAATTATTCATAATCAGTAATATATTTACACATTTGCATAATAAACATAAATAGGTTTTCTATAGAGGTCACTCCCTTGTTGTATATTCAGGGAAAACGGCAAGTCGTCCTGTTAAGAGCGGAGTGGGCGTTACTACGGCTACTCCTGTTTCGCTCATTCCCTTATTAGAGCTGCTTCACCAGACTTTGTTATTATATTAAAACTGAAAAATAGAGATAAGTGGATTTTAAATTGAACAATAACTTTGATATTCCACAAGTTCCATGTTTAACAGGAAGTCCCCGTTCACAATATTCAAAACTCACGAGAATGCAGGTGAGCACCGTGCTCTCTGACAGGTGTGGGTGAAAAGACGCGCCTACCTTGCGCTCTCACCGTCATTGCCTTTGTCATACCTCAGGCGTTCGTGTAAGACAAAGGGAGATGCTTACAAAAACCCATATGAAACTTAAATAACTTTTTATATAAATATATTTACGTAATACAACAGGTTACGTAAAATTAATGTTTTGAATGATTAGACCAATCCATGTACAATACTCCCCATTTAAGTTAAAATTAATTATTTTAATTCATATGATTGGACTAATTCATTCATCCAGAGGACAACGGCTGAGTATATCAGCTCCAACATTTTCATTGCCCTTTATGTACTCAATACTATATGTATAACATTGGAGTGCGAGTGCCCAACGCATCAATCTGCCGTTAGTATTTTTCATGTTTCTCAAATAAACAAGAGGCCTTTGATCTGTTTGGATAATGAATTCTTTTCCATACAAATATATTTTGAATTTATGAATGGCCCATACAATACTTAGACACTCCTTCTCAATAGTAGCATAGTTTTTCTCCCTGTCTAGCAGTTTCCTGCTAGCATATGCAATTGGCATCTTTACTCCATTTACATCCTGCAACAATACAGCTCCAAGTCCAAGATCGGAAGCATCACTTCTGAGATAAAAGATTTTTGAGTCGTCAGGTAAACATAAAATTGGTTCTGATACTAAAGAATCTTTTAATTTATTGAAGCTCTCAATCTTGTCATCACTCCATTGTAATTTATAACTGCAATGTTTCTTTAGCAGATCATTCAAAGGGGCAGCAATACTAGCAAAATTCTGAACAAACTTACGGTAATAACCTACCGTACCAATGAAAGATCTTAACTGTTTTTTATTTACAGGTAAAGGCATTAGCTGGATTGCATTGATTTTCTCTTTAAGAGGCGTTATGCAATTATTACCCAATAAAACGCCTAGATATTTGATTTTGGAAAACCCAAAAAAACACTTACTGACGCTAGCAGTCAAACCATGCATACGTAGTCTCAACAGAAGATTTTTCAAGTCCTGTAGATGATCAGACCAGTTAGCATTATGTACAACAATGTTATCAAAGTAGCAGTCAGTATTTGCAAGACCAAACAACACTTTTCTCATGAGCCTAATGAAGGTGGCACACGCTGTTTTAAGACCAAATGGCATTACTTTGAACATCATAAGACCTCTGTGAGTCGCAAATGCAGTATAAACTTTTGATTCTTTAGATAATGGTATTTGCCAATATCCACGACAAAGATCTATTTCACTGAAATATACATCGTTTACAAAATTCCCCAAAGCGGAGTCAGTAGTTGGCATAGGTTCTGCGTCAAACTCACTAGCATCATTTAAGCATCTATAGTCAATGCACACTCTCCAAGTTCCATCACTCTTCTTCACCATGACAACAGGTGAACAATATGGAGAGGTTGAGGGTTCAATTATATTCATTTCTAACATTTTATCTACTTCATTATTAAATTCTTTCAACAGACTGTTTGGAATCGGGTACGGTTTCTGGCGCACAGGCTTATCGGAGTTCACACGAATCACATGTTCAATAGTGTTAGTCAAGCCAGGCTTATCAGTCAATACGTCAGAGAACTCATTTAATATCACCTTTAAATCATCAATCTGACTTTCAGATAATTCACTGCCTATGTTGATATTGCACTCACTATTAGTTTCAAGATAAACAGGTTCACAGTTATTGCCACAATTATCTTCATCTTCAACCACACAAATTTGAACAGTTTCACCTTTTCTTTTAAAACCATCACGACGAAAGTACTTCTTTAACATATTTATGTGAAATAACCTATTCTTTCCGCGAATTCTAATTACATAATCAACACCATTCCCTTTGCATTCAACAACTGGATAAGGACCAAGCCACTGCATAACTAATTTGTTACTGCTAGAAGGCAATAACACTAGTACATCATCGCCTATGTCTAATTTACGAGATTTAGCTTTGAGGTCATAGTATGTCTTATAGTTGCGACTACTTATTTCCGCTTGCTCTGCCGCTAATTTGGCAGTTTCTTCCAAACGCGAGCGAAGATCTAAAACATATTGGTACGTAGTTTTAACCTCACTGTCAATACTGTCGTTCGTCCATAGCTCGTGGAGGATTGTCAAAGGACCGCGTACTTGTCGGCCATACAATAATTCAAAAGGTGAAAACTTAAGACTGTCATTAGGAATCTCTCTATATGCAAACAGGGCAGCAGGTATAAAGCGATCCCAGTCTCTCGGGTGATCGGTACAAAGCTTTTTAATCATGGATTTTAATACCCCATTTAGCCTTTCAACTGCACCGTTACACGAAGCATGGTAGGGACTCGTGTACAAGGCTTTTACAGAGAGTAATCTATGGATTTCACCCATTAGATCCGACTTGAATTGAGACCCACGATCTGACAAGATTTCCCTCGGTATACCGACTCGCGAGAAGATTTCTACTAAACTCTCGGCCACTGTGATCGTGTCAATATTTTGTAAGGCAACAGCTTCGGGGTACCTAGTTGCATAGTCTATTAGAGTGAGAATATACTTATTTCCTCTCTCGGAAGCTGGTGTAAAAGGACCCACTATGTCTATAGCTACACGTGAGAATGGCTCTGAAATTATGGGGAGGTTTTTCATCGGTACTCTTCTCACACTTCCTTTAGATGAAAACTTTTGACAGGTCGGACATGATCGACAGTACCTTTTAATCTGGGCACCTGCACCGGGCCAAAAGAACTTTGAAAACACTTTATAACTTGTCTTTCTATGCGAGAAATGACCAGCTGTAAGGGAATCGTGTGCGAGATTCAGGACGTGAATCCGATACTTCTCGGGAATCACCAGTTGCTTACTCCCAATTTCATATTCATGTTTGCTTTTTAAACACACCCTGTAAATGAGATCGTTGACAAGCTCATATTTTACCGTTCTAGATTTTACATTTACGTTTTCGCCGCTTTTAACTTTCTCCCTTATGGTTTTTAGACTTGGGCAGTTTTGCTGTTCCTCTTTTAGATTACTTTTAGTTATGTTTAGATCTAAGAATTCAGGGCAAGCTAATGTTATAGATTTTGACTCCGATGAACGAGTTTTAACAGCCATAGCAACCGTAGGAATTTTAGCGTCACGAGATCTGTCGCGCTCAGACTGAACATCCCCTACCTCGGTAACAGCGAGTGGAGTAGGGTTAGGCTGCGAGCAATTGGAATCCGTGGCGGTCTCTTTACTGCCGTCATAAGCGAGCGAAAGAGGATCGTGCTCCCCAGGTAGTTTCACACCTGGAACGAGTCCAATCAGCACATCTGCAAATTTGATTGGTGCTGCAACCGCACTGATCCACCCTGTGAAAAATTTACTTTTAATAAAGCATCTTACTTTAGGGAATGAATTTGGAATGCCCAGATAATCATATACTTTGACTACGGGACCTAGTTTGAATCTAGATGGTATCAACTTTTCGTTTACAATTACGGAGGAACATCCCGTGTCGAGCAATATTTCTGCTGGCTTATCAAACAACTTCCCATTTGAGTCAATTATTGAATTCTGAGGTTTGATTTCGGACTGAAATACAAAATTAACCTTGGATTCACTCTTAGTTTTGAAGTTCTTAGGGTTATTAGGGCAGTTAGGCCTGATATGACCCGACTTCCCACATCCATGACACTGAATCTCATTTTCAATATTTGTAGACTGTTTAGTCACCGACCTTGAAAATTTACTTACTCGATATGAATGTGCACTACGGTACCTATCAGCGGCTTCTGCCATTTCCACCGCAGTTTCACAGCCTTTCTCCTTCAGAAATACGCGGAGATCGGAACTGCAATTATTTAATAATTGTTCCCTGACCAGAAAATCAAACAAACTACCGTATTTCTTCTCAACATTACTCATAGTTATCCATCTATCGAGGTACTGCTCCATTCTAATTACTAACTGGACATACGTCTCCTTATCTTTACATCTGCTCTCTCGAAACTTACGCCGATAAGAATCTGCGTCAACTGAATAAGCCCTCAACAAAGCCTCTTTTAAGCGAGTATAGTCTCTAACGATGTCATCTGGCAAAGATACGTAAACCTTAAGTGCCTGACCCCGTAAACAAGTACCTAGGTAAACATGGTAATCTTCAACCTTCCACCCGTGTAATTCCGCCAGACGTTCAAACCGCTGCAAATAACTATCTAGGTCATCTTGACCGTCAGCAAAAGTAGGCAGTCTGAGTCCTTCAAACATATGAGCATTAGTGTTGCTATGATTACCATTAGGACCTGACTGGATTTTAGCGAGTTCAATCTCATGTGCTCGGCGCTTCTCAGCCTCGGCATATTCCATTTCCATTCTCTTTACCTCTCGCTCGGCAGCGCGCTCTTCCCTCTCAGCCTGATGCTGTTTTTCAATCAGCTCGTGAGCGAGGTCTCCACTCAAACCAAGTGATTGAGCCTTTTCTAAAATCTCTAACAGTGACATTACTATTAGATTACAATGCTATAACTAGCAGAAACTAAATACAAAATTAAACTCGTTGAAAGCTGAAGGCAAGTCAACACTTGTAAATCATTCAAAACTTTCAAGAGATATGAAAGTACATACTTTCACTAGGCCACCCACGACTTCGATATAAGATCGACAGTCGATCGCCGAGTCAGCGGAACCAGCGCCTATTAACTACCAACTGGTCCATAAAACCTGACTATATATATGAAGAGAAATACATCTTCTAAACTATCCGCTTGTAGGAAAAGTACATACACAATGAGAAACCCGATTGATTCACACACAATATCAGGTACATTGCCGCTACAAAGCGAATTACACAAACAATTTTTCACCTCACCTGCATCTCCCTTTTCACGAAAGCCTGGGTTTACATGACTCACCAAACAGTTCACAGGACATCGTTATCATAATTGTAAGATGAACAAATCATGGTACAGCCTGCAAGATACGACAAAAAAACATAAAACACTAAACCATAAAGTCCACCTCAATATTGCAAAATAAAATGACGAGGATCCTACTCACTGCGCCACTTGTGGTAGGTTCTTTTAATGTTTGCCACTTTTTAGATCCTTCATCACTTCATTCAGCAGTATTAGAGGTGGATAAATAAACAATTATTCATAATCAGTAATATATTTACACATTTGCATAATAAACATAAATAGGTTTTCTATAGAGGTCACTCCCTTGTTGTATATTCAGGGAAAACGGCAAGTCGTCCTGTTAAGAGCGGAGTGGGCGTTACTACGGCTACTCCTGTTTCGCTCATTCCCTTATTAGAGCTGCTTCACCAGACTTTGTTATTATATTAAAACTGAAAAATAGAGATAAGTGGATTTTAAATTGAACAATAACTTTGATATTCCACAAGTTCCATGTTTAACAGGAAGTCCCCGTTCACAATATTCAAAACTCACGAGAATGCAGGTGAGCACCGTGCTCTCTGACAGGTGTGGGTGAAAAGACGCGCCTACCTTGCGCTCTCACCGTCATTGCCTTTGTCATACCTCAGGCGTTCGTGTAAGACAAAGGGAGATGCTTACAAAAACCCATATGAAACTTA